ATGTATTAGACCAGTCACCTTTGTTTTCTGATCTTGCCCAAGATAAGGCTCCCCCTGTCCACTACACTGTTAATGGACATAGTTACGATATGGGTTATTACCTTGCTGATGGTATATACCCGCAATGGGCAACACTGGTTCAAACAATTTCTTCTCCCCAAGGAGCAAAGAGACAACATTTTGCAATGATGCAAGAGTCTGCTAGGAAAGATGTCGAGCGGGCATTCGGAGTCCTCCAATCTCGATTCGCAATTATAGGTGGTGCTGTACGTTTTTGGGATCCAAAAATGCTTGCCAACATAATGAAGACTTGCATTATATTACACAATATGATTGTTGAAGATGAGAGGGAGGAGCACCTTGATTTTGATTATGAAATTTCATCTACCAACACACCAGTGCAACTTTCCTCTACTCCTACCAATGACTTTGAATCATTTTTGTCTCGTCATTTAGGTATTAGGGATAAAAATGCATATCATGCCCTCCGTAATGATTTAATAGAACATATGTGGCATCTTCGCGGTGAAAACTAGATTCACCACAGATATATTTTGTAATTTTGTTTAGTAAAGAAATAGAAGGTTGTCTTGTTTGTAATCTTCATTATGATGCACTATATTAACCAAGTAACGCAGAAGTTATGTGATTAGATGTGCTATTGTGGTGATCCAATCTTCAATATTCATAATTGTTCTCTGTTCAATTTATAACAATCATCAAAATAATTTATTTCAGTATGACTGCTAAGTTTTGGAGTTCTATAATTCTGTTTTGGAGTTGCAAGTTTGGTTCACTATTGATTCCCCAATAACTGTAGAAACACAAATATGAAATATAAAATATGAAGCATTCAAGTTTTACATGAAATGAGTATTATATGTGGATCTCATATCATGTACATCACATTTCATATGAGACATATCTGTCTCGTGTTTTGTATTTATATTCCTACCATTACTCATTGATTCCCTTCCATCCTTAAATAGTGAATCACACATTTCCTAAGAATCTTCAATATTTTATCAAATTAAAATTTGATGACAAATTTGGTAAAAATACCTCCAATTTTACATCAAACTTTTACATTTCTTTCATCAAATCAAGGCAAAAAAAAGCTTTTTACCAAATTCGTGATTCTCAAACTTTTGGGAATAGGTTTGGAATTTTTAAAAAGATTTGATGATTAAGGGTTTGGCATTTTTAAGAAGTGAGGATTGGAGCATTCAATTTTTTCATCAAATGAAGCATTCAATTAAGTAAGGGTCTGGCTCGTGGGATTCATCATGCATGCCATTATTTGTGCATTTGAATTATTGCTTTTGTAAGGATTTATCTTCAATATTTATAATTGGACTGATTTGTGGCATCAATTATTTGTGCCATTCCATAAATTATTTCTGCATTATTTGTGGCATCAATTATTTGTGCCATTCCGTAAATGACTTTGATGTTGATGCATTCAACCTACTTTTCTGCCACATTCAACATTTACCCTACAGACATTGTACTATATGTGGCAAATTATTTATTGAACCACCTACCATTCAGAAGATATCAATTCAACCACCTACCATCCTCTATATCAGCTGAACATTGCCATCACCACATTCACATTTCACATGTTTTCACTGAAGCCCTCTAAGCACACACTCTACATTTTCAAGTGTGAATCCACATCATCACGAAAGCAGTATCAATAGGAACAGAGGAACAAGGCAGATCATCAAAACAGAACAAAAAGGCAGCATTATTGGAGCACGAAAGCAGTATCAATAGGAACAGAGGAACAAGGCAGATCATCAAAACAAGGTAGATCATCAAAATAGAACAAAAAGGCAGCGTTATTGGAGCAAGGTGATTCACAGGGCAACCGGTCCTTTCAAATTTTTTTTTTTTTTTCGTTCCAGTGTGCATGCCACTCAATTCTTCAACTGGTTTACAGAAGACAGGAACATAATTTCACTATATGTTACTTTCATGTTTTCTAAATTAATGTAGTTTATTAAAACCTGCACCACACAATAATTGTATTTTGTTACTTTCTTGTTTTGAAAATGCATGTAATTTATTAAAACCTCAACGACAGAACATGAGTTTATTTACTTTCATGTTTTGAAAATGCATGTAATTTATTAAAACCTCAACCACAGAACATGAGTTTATTTACTTTCATGTTTTGAAAATGAATGTTTTTTACTTTCATATCTTGAAAATTAATGTAGTTCATTTAAACCTCAATCGCAGAACAAGAGTTTACTTTAATGTTTTTTAAATGACATTAGTTTATTAAAACCTCAACTACAGAACAAGATTTTGATTTTTTCTTCATGTTACTTTAATGTTTTTAAAATGAATATAGTTTATTAAAACCTGTACTACAGAACAATATTTTGATTTTTACTTGATGTTACTTTGTAGTTCTATAAAATGAATGTAGTTTACTAAAACCTGAACTACAATACTGAATTTTCAGTGCTCATGTTTTAAAACATGAGCTACATTCATTTGATATGTACTGAATAGAGAGTCTGCATGCTTTATACTGCATTACTATGTTCTTAAATTTTCAGTGGCCATGCTTCATTAAAAATACATGTCTACATTTTAATTCTAAGTTCATGTTTTCAGTAAGCATTTTAAAAGACAGTGTTTATGTTAATTACTTCATTATAGCACATTTTTATTAAAATTCAACAGATATTTACATCATGCCTAGAACTAAAAGAGTGAGAACAGAAGCTGGTGAAAGTTCTAACCCTCAACGACGCGAACAATAGTAGCCTCAAAATCAGTCATATCCTACAGATGAATTTCTTAGTGAAAGTCATGAACTAACCTTTCAAAATTTCTCAAGCCGACCTATTGTAACAGGGAGGAGGGTCAATCTGCCACCTCAATATGATGCACTACTAGTTAGTAAACTTGAATCAATGGGATGGCTAAATTTAATTAATTTACCCCAAAAGGTATATCCACGGCTAGTATCCCTTTTTTATGTTCACCTAAGAGTTACTCATGAAGAAGATGGAAATTTTACTCTTTTGTCATATGTGAAAGGAAAGGGTGTACAGTTTGATGTTCCTACTTTGGCACGCATTATTGGAGTTGAGGTAGGTGAAGAAAATACCTATTTTCAGACTGAGGCTGAGTTAGTTAATATTGTCGGTAATGGTATTGATGTATATACTACTATATGTCAGAACAGATTTACTGGAACTAGTTTACAAGCAAGACATTTAAAATCTTATCTTCGGATCCTCCACCGGTGGATTGTAGAAAATGTCACTCCGAAAAAAGGACATCATGATGCGGTCCCATATTTTAATGCCTATTTGTTATACTGTTTTGAGGTTGGGCAAAAGTTAGATTTGTCTTACATAATTATGAAAGAAATGGTGCTGGCAAATCAAGAAATGGGCCGGTCATTACTGTTTGGGGTACTCTTGACAAAAATTTTCAAATATTTTAAGGTTCATCTTGCAAATGAAATGGAGATCAAAATCCGTTCACCTATTACGCAATATACTGTGAATCGTGCTGGTGCAGCCGCCAATTTAATGGGAAATGATAATGCTGCAGAAGATTCAGAGGATGAAGTCCCACCAGATGATGGTCGACAAGATCCTCCTGTCAATGTGATGCCATCAACTGAACCACCTCAATATTGGACTAATTTTTTGGCCATAGAAGAACAACGTTATAAGCAACGCGTTGAATGGGAACATCAAATGGCTAATCAGGTCAATTCGTTGGGTACTCAGTTTGAGACATTTGCCACTGCACAGAACTCATTAATTGAACAATTTGGTGAGTTCCGTTTGGACATTGGAAGACGTCATGACATGGCAAACAATCGCATTGATAGAATTGAACTAACCACACACTCTACATTTTCAAGTGCGAATCCACATCATCACCAAGGCAGCATCAGTAGGAACAGAGGAACAAGGCAGGAATCGTGTCCTCATGGACTTAAAAGTTTAGCGCGTGGACAACTAGAGGAAACAAATTCAAAATTTTATTTATAGACGCACTCTAAAAAGATTCATATAAAATTAATGAGCAAATTACAATAGTAGTCTTTGTAATTTATCCGTTTTATCATTTTAGTTCCTATTGTTTCAATTTGATCAATTTTACTCCTAAATTTTAAGGAATGTGTTATATTAGTCCAATAAATAACGGCGGTTAAGTTTGATGGATCGAAATTAAATGGTGTGTCAATTTAGTCCTTGTTATTTTGACTATCCTATTAACTACAGGGACCAAACTGATACATCCTATAAATTATAGGAACCAGTTTGACACATCATTTGATTTTTCATTCATCAAACTTAACCGCCGTCATTTATTGGACTAATATGACACAATCCGTAAAATTCAGGGGCAAAATTAATCAAATTGAAACAACAGGGACCAAAATGATAAAACGGGTAAATTACTGGGATCATTTGCATAATTTGCCCAAAATTAATATCTATAATGTTGCGGATTAATATGTATTTTTTATTTTAAAATAAAACATTTATAAAAATGAAACTATTTGGAAAAAAATAATATTTTCTTAAATTTTTATTTTTATTTTTATTTTAACTCTCTCAGGATTCTGTCCATATATTTTAAGATCAAAAGCCCATCAAATAGGAGCGCTTGGGGAATTCTATTTGCACCTAAAAAATCATTAAGTACACATAATTTCTTAATAAATCTTATTAAATTATTTAGGGTTATAATTTACTTTCAATACACATTTTTTCCTAATTCACCCTTCAAAATATATCCAAATAATAAATAACTCAAAACTCTAATTTTACACACAAATCCAATTTGTGAGATCAAAATCAGGATTCCTATAATCGGTTGCTGCTCGTATGTGTAGGAGTGGAATTTTTCTATCAATTAGGTCATGCAGTAGATTATTGCTATGGTGTGAAGGATTAATCAATGAGATTATATGTGAATTTTGTTATGATTCCTCCACTGATGATTATTGATCCATGGCTACTACAAGAACCCTATATGGCTCTTCTCGTTTTGCTTCTTCATCTTTTTCAACACTACCTCGCAGGAGCTATGACGTGTTCTTGAGTTTCAGAGGTGAAGATACCCGCAAAAACTTTACTGATCACCTCTACACGGCTTTGGTTCAAGCTGGAATTCACACCTTCGTGGACGATGATGAACTCCCAAGAGGACATGACATTTCTTCGGCCCTGCTAAAATCAATCGAAGAATCGAGGATCTCCATCGTTGTTTTCTCAACAAACTATGCTTCTTCCAGATGGTGCCTTGATGAGCTTGTGAAGATCATTGAATGCAAGAATTCACTTGGACAATTAGTTCTTCCAATATTCTACGATGTCGATCCTTTTGCTTCAGCAACCTACAAAAAAAAAATTACAACAATTTTAATAACAAATATGCATTTAGAGAAGAAATTTGATATTTAATAACACAAATAAATGTTATCATGTCTGCCTCAGTTGTTCCACTTTGTTGCCTCAGTTGAATTTGTTCAAGAAAACCACAAAATTTATTAATTGCCTTTTGTATGGCTGACCAACGGTGAGTCAAAGAAATACGATTTCGATTGGATTCACCGCTCAATTGTGAATTAAAATTAACAAGTACTCGTTCCCAAAATATAACCATAGTCTGACTATTACCAGTAATGGGATCTTGAGAGACTGCTAACCAAGATCTACATAAAGTTTCATCTTCTATAATTGTAAATGCTTTACCACGAGAAACACGAGAAGTTTCTGAAATGAAATGATTATCACTGCTCTGCGTGTTCTGTTCTCGCGAAGTTTCCGACATAAAATTAATATCAATGTTGTGCTGAAACATTTGTGATTCTTCAAACATTTGAAAATCTTCCATAACTTCAAAAAAATACAGTACATACAATATGTAAAATAGTAAAAAATATTAAAATGATATACAATATAAATTAAAGTTTCAAAGGAGAAAAATCACACAAGAAACAAAATTCACAACATACAATGTAATGTTCTTCTCAAAATAAAAGACTCTGTCATCTTGATATACAAAATTGATATATTTTATAGAACACATTATCAACAGTAAATTTTAAAAATACTCTGTTCATGCAACGGTAAATTTATTAAAACGGCTACTTTTTAAAATATGTATATGAGCGGCAAATTATCAAAAGACTCTGTCCATCCAACGGTAAATTTACTGAAACGACTAATTTTAAAATATTTATATAAAAGATAACAATTTGAATTATATTTTCAATGAAATTGAAATTTATATCACCCTTCAAATTATTTCAAATTATTCCAAGTCCACAAAATAAGCTATCTAAAAATAAACCTATATGAAATTCTACCTGTTCAAACCAAACCTGTCAAACCAAACCTGTTGAAGGCAGTACCATTCTCATGCGTAGACCGGGCGACCGGATGGTCAACCAGCCGGTCAACCGGCTGGTTGACCGGTTCACCTACACAGCTCAGGCCACGGACCAGTTCAAACCCATCAGTTCAGCCAGTTCAAACCCGTCACAGTCCAAACCCGTCGCCTAATCTGATGAACCGGTTGACCGGTTGGTCAACCGGCCGGGCAACCGATGTATCTCTTTCAACGGTCAGTAATAGTGATTTGGTAAAATCCATAACTTGTTCTCAGTTTGATACTTTTTTTGCTAATTTCTCATTTTGATATTCATTTGGTGCAACGGTTGGAGCATAAAAAAGTACATTTTTCATCAAAATTTGAATCTGATGTCAATTTTGGTTCACCGTTGGAGATGGTCTAAGAGCAAGTGAATGATGCAGAGATAGAGAGGGGAGGCCTTGGTTTGATTTTGAAAAATAAATTTTGAAATTTTATTTGATTTAGTGATTTAAAAAAAAAAATTAAAATTATTTTTTATTTCTTACATATCAATTAATCTTTTTTTTTTTCTCATCTCTCATTCTCAATTATTTTTTCTCGGACACACATTTACTCAATTACAACAAAATATCAAATCATCCCAAACTCCCATACTCTAAAACTATTTTAAAAAACAAACAAAAATATTTCTTAACTCTTTCTCCAATTTTTTTTTTTGAAAATTTATCTCTCAAAAACCAAACCAATCAAGGCCGTGTTTGGGAAGTTGTTATTTTATTAGGTTATTTTAATTTTAATTATTTTAGTAAATTAAAAAATAATTGGATATTTTTTGTAATTGAATGTGATATTTGTCAAAAAAAAGTAAAATAATTATAAATTTAATGTGATATTTTTTCTTATTAATTATTTTAACATATTTTATCTTTTTGTAAATTTTAACTTAAAAAATGTTAAAATTTCACTTTCTAAACAGAGTGTGGGAAAGACTATAGTTAGGGTAGGAGCAAACAATCCAGAAGCACATCATTTTATGTTTGTTACAAATGTAACTGTATAATTACAAAATGTGTTATTTTTAAGTTAAACTATGACATTTTTTAATTTGTCTTGCAATTATAATGTATTTTCGCTAATTAATTATTTTTTTTTATAAATTTTTTGTAACGAAATACACTATCATTGTATATATATATATATATAATTTGTATATTGTGTAAAATTTATATTGTAGAAGAATCCTAGATCAGAAACGAAACAAAACACCGACATGCAAGTAACAGTTACCTATTTTGTATTAAAAATTTTGAAGTTCAGGATTATTAACTTGTCCCAAGTGGACCAGCCGGCATAATCCACTTACCAACAAAATGGGTCAAGTTGTGTTGTGGGTTCCACATCTCTCATAACCAGATTGAAACTCTCAATTCCACTAAAGGCAAACTGAACCTCCATTATCCATATGAGAGTCTAATAAAGCTTTGTAATTTGACAGATATATCCAATTTTACATGCTGTCTAATAAAATAACTTTTTAACTATTTTATTGGATTAATTGGTAAAAGTTAAGAATAATAGGGCCATATGTTTGGCTTAAGGTTGGTGATAGGGAAAAGTCGTAGTAAAATTAATTAGAAAAATTGCTGAAAAAGTTGTTGGTAGAAGTGATTAGTGACGGTGAGATAAACAGATAAATGATATTGTTTAAATAAGTAAACAGATATATGACACAGGTACATATAATTTATATATAAATGACACACTCACACACACATATATATATATATATATGATATTTAGATATATAGGCAAGTTTCGAATAAATAAGTGTCATTTTAACTAAAAATACTTTAAACTTGAATCTATTGACTCCAAAACTTTAAAAATAAACCTATTGGTTGAGTCTCCTAATTTATTTATTTATTTATTTTTTAATTTGGGATAATAGTTTATTTATTTTTTAATCAGCAATACTACAAATTCAGACTTAACTATTCAGAATTATTATCTTATGATTTAGATTTATTTTACACATGGACTATACACTATATAAATTTAATTTTCACCACACAAACTCTAACTCATAAAATTTTGGGCAAATTACATATACTCCTTGAGGTTTGGCTAAATTACAGATACTCCTCTGAGGTTTCGAAAATTACATCCCGCCCCCTGAGGTTTGTATTTTCATAACAATTTGTCCCTTGAGGTTTAAATTTCATAACAAATTACCCCCTAATTTGTTATGCAAATATAGCATCCAGGGGGAAATTTGTAATTTCTCAAACTTCAGAAGGTATTTATAATTTAGCCAAACCTCGAGAGATATATGTAATTTGTCCTAAAATTTTAGATGATTGAGTCTGGACGACGTACTTTTTCATGTTTATTTGAGTTTAAAAAGGAAGGTTGAGGGTCATGGCCTATTGACGCCATGAGTTTTGTATAGGAATGGCAATGGAAGGCAATGGGGTGGATTCTTCATCCCTATTTCTCTATAATAAATTTTTCCCATTCTTCATTCTCCATTCCCCATGGTACCACCCTCCCCATTTTTTAATGGGTATGGATTTTTCCCAATCCACTTTAATCTCCATTTTAATTTTTTATATTTAATGTTAACAATCACTTTTTTTTTTTCAGATGATGCAGGACAAACACAACAATCACAATATTGAAGTATTTTGGAAAGATGGTTAAAAGTTAGTTTTTTGACTGTTTAAAACTTTTTAAAAAAAAAAACGTATAAAAAATATAAGAAATGATATTATACAAAATGAGTTAAAAGGTGAAAAGTGACTTTTAACCCACTTTTCAAGAGTCAAACACAAGACCTTAATACCTGAGATAACAATACCTGTAACTCATCAACCCAGTGTGTTAGTGTTAGTATGGGCCCTTCTTTTTGGGTCTCATGTTGGGCCTCAATTTCAAGTTATTAAGTATTAGTGGACAATCGACTGAAAAACACATATGAACCGAACCAACCCAACTGTCGGGTCGGATCAAATTTTGAAAGGAATAATTCGATATTTTGAGTAAAAAATTCCCAACCCCAACCAACCATGTATACATATTTTACAAAACTATTTATTAGAGTGCACTTTATTGCACTAATTTTTCTAAAACCTTGTTTATTATGTTGTGCCTAGGACCCAGAAACAAATATCAATGCGTACACACATAAGAGAAACAATGAGTTTTATGTGATTTGACAATATGTTTATGTTCACGGGTAACGAATTTGGGAGAGCTAAAGTTAGCTCAATCATCAACAAGAGACAAGAACATTAACTGTAGCCACCCTACAACAAATCAGCTCGACTAAAAACTGCAGCTCCAAATCTCTAGCATCCTTTCTTTTTCTTTATTTGCAAATGAAACTGGTTTCTATAAATTAAAGTCGACATACAACATATTATGAATATTAATAAATTCAAATTACAGCAAAATTGCAGTTTCAGTTTTAATGCGAATTAATTCGAGTTTACTTGGTTAGGGTTGGTAGGTCACAAGAAAATCATAGTGTATTTACTTTTATGACTTCAATTTAGTTTTTTTATTTTTATTTTTATTTTTTATTTGGGGCTAAAAGAATCTCACATCACTTAAAACAATGTCTGTAGTGAATTATTAGTTGATTTCTTAATTAGATGGAGCTTTTCTTTTCTGTCATCTCTTCTTTTGGACAACAAAAATGCTTAGATATCCAAAAAAATTTATTAAAATTTTTACTAAATCATTCATATGAGTATAAATCTTACACTTATGTAGATCATACATCCACATGACTATTTATTAAAAGTTTTAATAAAACATTTGAAATGGGAAGCATTACACCATGGACAAGTACAACTCTCTCTCTCTCTCTCTCTTTCTCTCTCTCTCTCACTATTGAATAATTTGACTGAAACATTTTGTTGTCAAACATCTACTGGACAGCATTTATTTAAAAAAAAAAAAAAAAAATTGACCCCTTTTTTTTTTTTAAAACCTCTGGTGATGTAAAAACAGTACAGCAACAAAACCCCACTGGATTCTTCAATCTTTATGTTTTTATAGTTACTGTTGTGCTTGTTTCTCC